TGAGGAAGGCGACAGATTGCGCGCGGAATACACGCGGGCAATAATGCGCAGTCAGCTGCAGATGATCCGCCATATCTGCTCGATGAATCTGACATCCGAGGGTGCCGAGGACGACGTCATGGCCACGACGCAGATGGTCCGGCGGCTGATCGAGACGCAGCTGAGCGAACAACCATCAACCGTTGTGGACAACCAGAGACTGCACTCACTGGCGTTCCTGATCATTGGCGTGCCTGAGGCGATCGAGTATTTTGGCCAGGTCACGGCGTTAATATGTATCCTGCTTCAGACAGCGTGCAATGTACTGCAGTCTGACATGGTGCGGCAAGTAGATGAGGATTTTGGCGACGTTGACAACTACTTTGTCATGCAGGCATTCGATGAGCTGGCTAACGCGTGGTCGTCGGTTATCAACGAGGTTCGCGAGTGGGAGGAACTCGAGTCTGCCAACCTTGGGGAGAACAGTGCTTCAAGCAACAAAGGTGCGCTAGGCACATTCATGCAGCTGCTTCATTCGACTGCGTTCATGATTCGCAGCGAGTACGTTCGCCTGCGCATGCTGGTATGCGAGATCGGTGTACAGTCGGGCGACAATGACAGCCAGGGGTCGATCATGGACCAGGGGCTGCTGGAGAAGGACTATGTTGTGTATGAGGACCAGCTGCAGTTCTACGCGCTGCTTGCACGGCTCGATGTGAACACAGCAACAGATCGGGCGCTGCAGGGGCTGCGTGGGCGGTGTCAGGCGCTACAAGAGGAGTTTAGCAAAATCGAGGCCAACGAGAACGATGTCGACCAGCAGGTCATCGACCTTCTACATGAGCAGATCCACTGGATTATCCTGATGATCGGGCATACACTTGCAGACTCTGGCACGTCGGAGCGGGTGCTGATTCCCAGGCAGATCACAGAGCACTCATCCAGATGCAGCTCGCCTGAAGAGGACAGTGTCGTGCAGTGCATCATGGTGATTCTAGAGACACTGCAGTTCGAGCTGATGAGCCCGTCGTCGGCACTGGTCGCGTATTGCAGCCCGCTACTGGTTGAGACGATTTTCTGGACTCTGCGCCGAATTGCCCCAGTGTACCTGTTCCTCGACCACTCTGACTATCGTGATGTCAGCGGAAATATTGTATCGGCATTTGGAGCCGAGCGGGACAGCGGCCGTGGCATGGCCATCATTCATGGCCTGCTTGATCTTGTGCGCCGCACGTTCAACCTGTGGTCATCAGAGGAAGATGTGCTTCACGCGTGCGTGGACATGCTACTGGCATTTGCCCAGCGGCAGACTATTGCGCAAGAAATTACTCGTTCGCCACAGTTCACGCCGCTGATCTTCTTCTTCACCAGCAACCTCAACATGTTCCCCGAGTCCACGCATAGCTCGATTATCGAGGCGCTGGCATTGCTTTCCTGTCACTCATTGTCAGAGGAGCACGAGAAGAGCTTTTTGGAGCTCAGGACCCTGATTATGCTCAGCCTGAGCCAGGTGATGAATGACGCCAAATTCCACACAGAGTACCAAGATGGGCGTGTTATCAGCAAGATCCTTGATGGGCTCGAGATGATGGACGGCATTCTGCAGGCAGCCAGCTTGCGCAACATGGATATGCAGTTTGACTTGTTCTTTGAGGTTGAACAGGTTATCGAGCGGCTGCTGACGATATATAGCCACGAGCACAGCATCATGCTCAAGTCGATCCAGGTCGTCGAGTCGGCCGCAAAGTACCTGGACATCGCTTCGCTGCCAGATAATGAGCACAAGCTGCGGTTCTCGCGCAACATCCGCACTATATTGCTGAAGTATCAGAGCGCTAAAGATGGGTCTGCTACCTACGAGGTTGGCGCCGATGTCGAAGCGATGCTGGAGGTATCTGCGCTGATGACAGTCGTGTCCAACTTGGTGCGCAACGAGATTGGGTTCGCTCCCGACGAGGCGAGCCGCAACATAGACAATGAGGTATCTGATGACTATGGTGAGACCGAGATGTTTGGTCTCTTTTGCGTGCATGTAACCACAACGCCATCGCAGCTGCTGGCACCAAACGTGATGCGCTCTTACATGCAGCTACTGTCCGAGCTGATCCAGTACCGGACTCCGTCACTGATCCGCTGGCTGCCTGTCGAGAGCTGGAAGGCAGTGCTGAACATGCTGATTGAGGGCATTGACCACGATGTGTATGATGTCGGTAGCCGCACCTACGAGACAATCAGCAAGCTGGGTGCGTTTATCAAGCTAGCCGATCTCAGCAGCATACCTATGGATCTGCAGCTACTGCTGCGTGAGGGGGTGGCGCGGATGTTGGGCAAGCTGCTTAAGGCTCTGCTGTTCTCCCCATTCGACTCCGACCTTGTTGAGTCGGCGGGTACAGCCCTCGTCACGCTTAGTCTGATTGAGCCTGCGCACCTGCAGCAGTGCTTCAATGAGCTCCTCACACAGAGCGACTCGACTACGTTTGCTGAGCGGCTGTCGGCGACGTTCGCCAAGTTCAACGCTGATCTTTCAACGTCAGAGGCGATCAGCAACTTCCAGAATTCGACCGCCCCGATCCCTAGCCCAATCGACGGAACCCTGCTTCGACAGCCACTGTTTGAGTTCCTGGTTAATACCCGCGCAGTGCTGCGTGTCAAGTAAACCCCTTTGTGATATTCACTATTGGCAATATCATCTGCTTTCCAACTGGCATCTTAATGCGAAACCAGCGCTTCGTTCCTCTTCATTATGCTGGTCTAGACCTGTTTTTGGAGACTTTGTTGATGTTGTAGCTGTTGCCAGGGTGGTGTCCGCGCTGCAATATGCATAAAAAGGGATTCTGTATACCAGTAATGAAATCTAGACACACGCGCCAGGGTCCATTCTTATACTCGCACTCCCATCTCTGGCACAGCAGCAGCAAAAAGAAGGTACGCCTGCATTTTTCTGTGGATTTGTAGTTTCTGTGCAATTTCGCTTCTCTCCACGCTGCCCCATATCAACCTAGACCATCCTGATCGCAGAATTTGCTTGATCGACCTAATATGCGGGTAATTTATTTGGATGGGGGGAGTGGGCACATATGGATAGCGGATTGCTTTTTCTGTTGCGTCTGTGTACCACAGAAAAGAGGTGGGGAGGGGCAAATATGCTGCGAAACGAGGAATTTGCAATATAGGAGCCATGTGCAATATTCGGATTGACTGATGCCGCCCTACAAGCATAGTCTTCTCCTTGTGCCTCTGCAGCACCCTGTGCCAATTTTGCAATTTATACTACAGCGTGTGGCAAGCCAGCCAGAACATGACTATATACAATTTTCAGACCTGCTGTACAGCTATTCCTCCAGTGCACACGGGAGCATTTATCCCACATACCTCTATATTTTTCTCTCTACCAGTGCTTGCATATTAGGTCGGGTGTTTGTACGTAGTGTCTGCCATTCTCCCTTATCCTCTTTCTCCTACTCTTCATCCCCCGCATTTTTGGTCAGTAGATATAGGCTCTCTCTCGCCAGATTTTCTTAGCTGCTCCCATCCCAGCCATTTCTTCCCCCTTTTCCACTTTGGGTTTTCCGGAATTGTAACAGTAGCAAACTGCAGAATTAGACAGCATAGGGCTAACTAACCATCCTCACCATCGCCGGCCAACACTTTAGAAATTTGCCGAATCTGCGCCGATACTCCTTACCGACGCTTACAAACGGCGAGCCTCTATTTTGACCATATCTGAGGGTTGCACCCTGTGAAAGCAGAGAACGAATGAGCACCGATCTGTCTCAGTCTATCCAAGCCGATATGCAGTCTGCTGTCGATGACAAGTTTGATATGTTCGCCATGTCGACGGGCGTGCCTGACTTTGTCAAGAAGCTGTTTAGGCAAGTAGCAGTATGGAATATCGCCAGACAATGATTGATTTCGAGAATAATGCTAATACCTAGGAGCATGCTCTGTGCTGTTGTCCATTGCTTTTGGCTGCCACCTTTAGAATGCTCGAGGATGAAGCACACCGCGATATTGTGTGCTGGGGGTACGAGGGGGATAGCTTTGTGGTCAAAGATCCAAACGAGTTCTCAAAGTTTGTCCTCCCGCAGCACTTTAAGCACAACAACTTTGCGAGCTTTGTCCGGCAACTAAACAAGTACGATTTTCACAAGGTCAAGGTCACAGAGGAAAACAAGCGGTACGGCGACGAGGTAAATATGAGGCCATATGCTGTCAGGTATTAGCAAAACATCTCGGAGCGTATAGTAAAGGACTGCTGGTACCGTGACTTGCCGTTTGTTTTGTAGGCCTGGGAGTTCAAGCACCCGAATTTCCAGCACAACCGTCCAGATCTGCTCGAGAAAATCAAGCGAAAGATCCCACCCAAGACAAAGTCGCTCGGAGGGCTGGTCAATGGACGGCATGCTGACGGCGAGTTCCGCGTTATCACCGAGGATCTGCAGAGTCAAATACACCTGCTCACACATGCGCACGCCGAGGTCACCATGTATATGCACCAGCTGGGCAAGCAGCAGCAGGCTATGATTGACGAGCTCAACGGCCTCAAGAAAAACATGCAGACGCAGGACCAATTGATGGAGGAATTTGTCCGGTATCTGGTCAATCAAGACGCGGCCAGCAATGGCAGTCGAAGCAGTATCAGTGCGGCTGCCGCAGTCGCTGCAGCTGCTACAGGTATTGGTGGCCTGGGTGCAATTGGCCATGTACCTGGTATCGGCTCGGTCGTATCGCCAGTGGGGACAGTCAATGGAGTTGGGCCCCTGATGGTCGGTAGCGACGCCAATGTCAATGGGGCTGCTGGAAACGGCTCCTTCTTGGGCGACAGCAGCAGCAACGGCAGCGCTAGTTTGTGTGTTGACCCTCAGTTGAAGCAGCAGCAACCACCCCAGCAGACACAGCAGCCACAGCTCTGCGAGCTCCCACACTGATGCTCACAATAAAAATTGTTACTTCCCTCTTCCCACTTGACGTTTGTTTTGTTGTGTTCTTAGTTGTCCTTCTGGTACCATATAGATGTTTATTTCTTCCAATAGTTCTCTTGGATAAAAACACGATAATGTAGTAAAAGAGTAGCAATTTAGCTTTACGTCTCGCGCCATACCAGCTGTAAGCCTTAGATCCAGGGCACGAGCACAGGCGCTGTGGCGAAGCTGAACAGCACGTTCGGATGTTTTACACACCTCAGGCAAACAGATTCTTGGGATACGCTATTATCAAAGGGCCACATTTCTATAGCACGGCCACTTGCCAGTGGTCTCGTTGCGGTTGAAATGTACGCTTTCAAATAACAAAGGCCGGATGGCTGCTGAAGGGTGCTGGCGATAACGCACGGAAGCAGCGTGTACAATGCCCTGGCCATCCATCCCTTGATATTATGTCCTGGGCTGGCACTATACTAGTCGGTCGGTCGCAAACAAGATGCGTCGGCGAATACTTTTCCCTGTTTGTCTCGCTTAACGGGCCCATCACTGGACCCGGGCCGCGCTGGCTGACGTAAATAGGAAAAGAGGCGGAACCTCATATCACGCAGGACAATGGAGAGATGGACAATGTGGTCCATATTCCATACATGGGTTGCCAGCGTGCGGAATGCTCCGCGCATGCATGCAGCAGCAACGGCTTCTGCGTCTGCCGGAGACGATCATGGTGCATGTTTGTGTATGTGTTTTTATTTCCCAGTGAAGCAGCCGTCTTCATATCCCAAGCCCCTGTGAACAAAACGCCCAAGCACCCACCGTTCCTGCCTAGCAGTATTCGCTCGCCCAGCAGCCGCTACTGTGATCCCTGACATACACTAGAAGAGGAAGCAGAAAAGGCGGGGGTGAGAAGCCAGTTGGTGTCCATTAATTGCTTGTTGAGCAGTTACCGCTTCGTTACAGTCAATTTCGATTGACAGCCTTGCCCTATTTAAGCGATGGTGTCTGGCGACAAGGCCAGCTGCTGCTGCTGAACTACTAGACTCTGAGCCATTCCTTCCTTCTATCGCTCCACGCCATTTCGCGCATTTCAGTTCCCCTTCCCCTCCCCTCCCTACCCTCCCCGCTGCGTCCATATCCCCTACTGCTTGTTGTGCTTTCGCAGCAGGCCTAGCTCACCACCTAATTGTCGCAATTTCTATATCACGAAAACATTTCTTTTCTATTTTGTCAGCGCTTTTTGTCGGAGCCGCAAATTACCGGCAAATAATAGCGTATCTCAGCTCACACGGCCATTCATACATCGAACTCTTTGGCGCCCACCAATTCAGCTCCAATTGACTATACTGCCTGCGCTAGTGTCAAGCACTTGCTACATGCTCTGACTTTCCCTTGGTGTGGCAGAGAATCGCAATTCAGCAGTCTGTTTTGACTTTGCAGAACAAGTCAAGCGGCATCCGCCTAGCACAATCGCCGTCTTCTAGCTCCTAGCAGCACCAAAACAAGCCGTTTTGCTTTTACCACTTTGGCTCGTTTGGATTCTGATTCCTTTCTGCGCCAGCGGAGGTAGCACCAAACGAAACGTGCCATTCCCTCACTTTTTATTACCAGCCCCACATATTCGCACTTGCATACAGGCCATTTGCACGCCTGTCAAGCATTAATACCACCTGCCATCCGGCCCTAGCCATACTCAGTCCCCCACCTCGCTACCACTCCACGCCTCAAGGTCTAGATAAACCGTGGGTGATTATCTCGGCTACTTTTCTCCTTATATTACGCGGCATCCCTTTCTACTTCCCGCGCCCTACCCTCTATCGTTTCTCAGCAGTTACTTATTTATTGCTCTAGCCTGTTTGTGTGCTGTGGCCATGGGGATCGCAGCAATTTTCAAGCGCCCAAAGGCCACGACATCGAGCGGAACGCTGAACGACTCCGAAGTCAGTGCCAACCGGACATGTCAGGCGAAGCGAAGCTCGGCACCATCGGGCGATATCAAGCAGCGCTCCGAGTCAAAAAAGGGTGTCTCCAGGAGTACGTCTTCAGCAGCCAAGAGGAGACACCGCACCGCCGCCCAGCCCATCGATGACTGCGAGGACCTGCCCACGCCCGACAACAGTGTTAGCGAGAGCAACAACATCCGTGCCCAGAACTCGGCGCTACCGCAGCCGAATCAGCAGCCGAATCAGCAGCCACTGGACAACCTTGGTCTGAGCCTTTACAGCATAAGGACACCGCCACCTGACCTGCTCGCGCATCAGATGAAGGAGCTTGATCCATTCGGTAAGTTCAACACTGTCGGCCCTTCTAGCACATAGAAATGTAAACAGCCGCACTCGAACAATCGGCGGTTTGAAACTGCCCCTCCCCCTATCCAGGCATATCAGCCACGCGTCGCTCTTATCCATGAGGCGCAGCCGGTTTGTGTTTCGAAAACAGACCGTGGTCCATTGTGTGGGCATGCATGCAGGACTCTGTACTGCATGATCGAATCGTGCCATTTCCGCATCACTGTATTTTGCCAGCGCACCTGCTAATGATGGCCAAGTATGGCTGCTGTAATGTTTTTTACCCATGTAGCTGACAGCCCGCCGCCTCCTGCACTGACCAACTTTGAGGACCCAGTCTACATTCCGCCTCTGACCTTGACCGAGACGCTAGCTTACGAGTACACTGCCCCCAGCCAGCCGGCTACCCAGCCGACTACTGCCGTCCGTGCTACTGCAAGCGCGTCATACGGCGGCAGCTTTGGGTCTAGTAAGCCAGCCCTGTCGCCGACCGGCAACACCGCATCTGGGGGTATGGATCTCTTGAGCGAGTTTAATGCCACTTATAATTACCTGTTTGGTACCCTGCCCCCCGATACTGTTGCGACTCCGCACAACGTCAGTGCCCTAGCCGATGGTCAGTTCAGCACGGCCACCAATTCTGGACCCACTGCGCTATCTTGCCAGACGAAGTACAATTCTGGCTCCGCAGCGCCAGCCCTTAGTGGTCTCCTGAGCCCTGTCAGCGACAAATCCGGGAAGAGCAACACAAAGCATACTCAGCGTGGCGCTGGCAAGGCAAATGCTCGCTGCGATAGCGACTATGCATCATCGGTTGACGAAAAGACCGGTACTAGTGTATCCGACAGGGACTCGTCAGAGGGTGATTCGGAGAGTATGTCGTCTGAGGCTCAACGCGATGAGGAGCGTCGCCGAGAGGATGAAGAGCGCAGGGCTGTCGAGCAGCGCAATCGGCGTCGCGAGCAGCTCAAGCAGCAGGTCGCTTTTGAGCGGATGAAGGAGCGCCACCGCCGGCAGGTTGTCAGTCCTACGTCAGGTCCCAAAAGCATTGCCCGCTGGCAGCAGGATGCATCAATGAACGCTACGATCGGAAATGGGCTTGGATCGGGGAATGACACATTTACTACTGCCCAATCAGCATTTGCCCAAGACACCCTCCATGCCTCATACGGCACAATCAACCGCGGCTATGTGGCTGGTGCTATCCATCACTCAGTATCAAACCAGGGATACGTTGCATCTGGTGGAGGACTGGTTGCAAACGCTCTATATTCAAATGCGCAAGCCAATGCCTCAATGCCGAATGTCGGTACGAACCTTCACGACACGCAGTTTGCTGCCAACCAGACACCGGCACATGGTACTCCAATGTCACCGCAGAGACTGCCGGCAATGGATCCGTTTGCTGCAGGCTACCTGTGCTCGCATGACCGGCCAGCAGATCCAGCAGGTCAACGGTATCTACTATATGATGCCTGGACAGCCCAGGATCTGTTCCTGGACCGATGCTTCCGCCGCAGGCTGCAGCACCGCTTTCCACCATTCCGACGCAGCCCAGAAGCACCTTCATATCCCAGTGAAGCTTGCAATGGAGACCAAGAAGCAGAGTAATCCTTACCTGAGCGACTCTTCTGAGGATGATGATAACGATGCGTCATCGCTCAACGACTCTGAGTCTAATGATAGCTCCGTCACTGGCAATCTTGACTACTGAGTATGCTGCGTCTCCTCCGGTTGGCTTCGATAAAGCCAGTTCCCAGCCGACTCATCCTGCTCCCCTGGTCACCAACAAGAGCGAGAGCGGCTCATCGTCGTCCGACTCGGGCGTTATTACTGTCTCCAGGACAGGCTCGCAACCCATGCTAGCAGATGATGATCGCACAGTTGTGCGTGATAGTGGCACCAGCGATGCTTCGAGCGACTTGTCAAACAACAGCCAGTCCTCTTCAAAGCGCCAAGTGAGGTTCAACGAGACTGTGTCTGTCGTCTTCAACACACGCAACTCGATAACTGAGGATGACTTGGACTCCAAGAGCGCACAGATAATTGGCTACGAGTCAGATAACAGCAGCAATGCCTCCGTCGAGTTTGCCATGTCGGCAGCTAGTAGACCAGCTACTGGCCATGGAATGGCGACCAAGTCGAGCCTGAAGAAGCCGGCTCTTGATGTGGCCAAGTTTGCCAACGACGACGCCTTTGATGCTGGCAACGCTTATAGTAGCCTGCGATACCAAATGCCAATCGACATCTCTCCTCATGCCGCTGCATACTGGGACTTGGGAGATACAGCCACTGCTTTGAATAGCAATCGATCCAGCCAGAAGTCCAGTGCAGCTTCGAGCCGTGACATCTCTCCTACACGCAAACCCCGCCACAAGAAGAAGCACCGCATCGAGATGCAGCCTCTGCGTGATCGTGAGGCAGAGCGCGAGGAGGAGCTGAAAAAGGAAAGCAGGTCTGTAACTCTTCACACCATTGCCCCCACACAGCCAGGCCCGCCCTCTGCCAATTCCCTCCGGTCCGGCCCTAGTCAGCAGAGCATGCAGCATAGACAGACTGCAAATGATGCAGCCTACCCCGCCGTTACTGCTGACACCATGCTTGAGGCCCGGCGTGCACTGATTGGCCACTACACGGCGCCAAATCAGCACATGCCTCTCGGTAACAACATCCCGCGTAGCAACAATCCCCCCACATCTCGCCCGCATGCATCGCAAGGCGTCAAGGTAATCAAGCCTCAGTCGTTCGCTCGCCCCAAGTCCATCCCCGCAAATGTGCCTGCAAAAGCCCCGCAGACCAGAGCCGCGATGAGACCAAAAGAGCCCAAATCAGGTACCCAACAGTGCGCGAGTACTGGAGACCAGGCAAAGGAGCCCACCCAACAAGCGACTAAGTCAAGGATGGAAGGCGGGAATAAGGATCCACAGTCTGAGATTCGTCCGCGACTTGGATGGCTTTGCCCAAGAGTTAGACAGCAGCCAAGAGTTCAGCTTTGGAAACGTCATCCAGAACTTTTCGCTGACAAGCTTCGAGATCACGACTGGTAAGCAAGGCGGCATGTATATCCACTACTCTGACAGAAACAGCAGCACCAACAACATAACCGGGACTGGCCAAGGTAACGAAAGCGACGGTGATGATATACCTCTGGCTTCTATCATCAGATCCAAGTCTGAGCCATCTGTCTACCCTGCCCGGCACTCTGTTGATGCGCATCTTGCTCGTCTGAATGCAAATGGTGATGAACAATCTCGCACCTATGACTCGGACAACCACAACAGTGCTGCCGCTGCCGCTGATTTATATCAGCCGAGGCGTTTCTTGAGTAGAAGGCCACGAGCTGCTGACAAGGACTCGAAAGTCAATAACCAGGTCCCCAAGTTTGAGAACATAAGGTCCTTCTCTATGGATAATGGCTCGCGCCCTCTCAAGAAGCCTGTGTCTGCAGCAGCTACCCAAGAGCCCCCAAGCGCAAGTTCCGCAAGTGGGGTGGTATTTTCTAGCCAGCCTATTCTCTTACATTTCATTTCTTAATATACCCTTATTCCTCCACGACAAACAACATTGGACAGTTATATACTACACATGAGCTAATTCAAGCAATTACAACACATTTTGTCTAACATGTAGATCACCAACTATATAGTAGATGGTCTACAAGCAAGCCCAACGTGCAGTCAGATAAGAAACAATCATTCACATGTGACGCTGTAAACAGACTTGGTACTAGATATACTAAGTCTAGGTACGGATATATATTTTAAACTGCAACCAGAAAACAAAGTACAAAATGGTTGCACATGTTTTTACTTGGGGTCAGCATGCATGGCTATTTTGTGAGTGCATCATGCATAAAGAGAGCTGTAGATCAGTACAAACCCTTTAGCAGCCAGACTCTGGATCAGTAGCAGGGACCCGTTGCAAGGCCAGTGCTTGAACAAGTTGATACGTGATATATAACCTCAATCATGCAATTTTTAATATTAAATTCAAAAGTACCATGAACAAGTAAAAAATGTCTATGTCGTTATTCAGGCTGTGGTGGCAATCATTAATAGGTGTATTTGTTGTATTTACATGAGTGTTAATGAAGATATATACAGGTATTGCGGGTCCACGACGCTACTCACCAGACAGGCGCTGTGCATGTTTGCCAAATGCTACTTTGGTGATATAGTGTAGAGCGTGTGACTGGACACCTTGGCAGCGTCTGCACTCGAGCACACAATCGCACATTCGACATGTCAGACAGCATCCTGTCAGGCAGTAGCGACATGGACACCGACAAAGATTGCTGGGCAGCTGTTGATAGATGCAAGGAAGGAGATGGTTTGAACAAGAGTGTGGTTTGTGTCTTGAGGGATGAGATGGAGGGCAAAAATAGCGCCAGACACCGACCCTTTTATATCGTCTGGGCAGGCTTTCTCTTGGTGGGCTGCCCAGCAGGCCGAATAGAACGCGAAAATCATGAAACACGTTGCCCCCTTTTCAGCGCTTCGCCGGGCTCCCACACTGCTGCACCTGCAGCGGCCGTCATTGGCTGGCGGGGGCGCTGCACATGCCGAATTTACTTTTTCCTTGGGACGCCGTTGCTGCCATATAATGTGTAGCTGCGGTGGTGGGTGATGGAGCTGCATGCTAGCCATGCATCACTGTTCGGAGTGCCAATCTGCCGCTGACCAGCACTCCCCACCGGCTTGCCTGATGTGCATTAGGCGTTACCAAAAAAGTGCATTATTGCTATTTAGCCCGGTGGCCGGGGTCGTTTTGCAAGAACAGGCTCTTTCTGCGTCGGACCAGCTCAGAACAGGTACGTGGTCCAGAATTTTTATGGCTATTTTCACCACGACCTGGACTGCTGACATTTAGGTAGAGTTGGCACGAGTATACACACATGGGCATGTGGCCCTGGGTCATTTCTGCTGGAGACAACAGTGTAGCACCGACGACACCAGGTAGCTGTGGCTCGCTGGCAGCTTTCTTCTGAACAAGCCACCCAGCGCCCTCCACATGAATAGAGGCTTTGGAAAGATAAGCCAGCTAGCGAACATGACAAACACGTCGACTCGCTTGGCTGCACTACCACACACCCTTGCTTCTAAGAATGCTCCATACTACCTGCTGTGCATCAACAGTCATCTAGAAGACAGCATATATACTGAGAGAGAATATCAGCAATCAACACCAACATCTTGTCTTTCATTTTATTAGTGCTCCATTTTCTGAGAACTCAGCAAGCCGATTGGGAAGATGGCCGAGCGGTCTAAGGCGCTGCGTTCAGGTCGCAGTCAGTATCACTGGCGTGGGTTCGAATCCCACTCTTCTCAGCTTTTGCGCTCCCTTTTTGGCAATCTGCGACCAGCAGGATCGCCCAACCCAACATCGCTATGCTGAATCCACCTCTAGAGCAGAGTCCTTGGTATCTTGTATGTGGGTTGCTTTTTTACTGCAATGCCTTGAGTGGCAGCTGATCCCAGTGGACCAGCGCAGTAGTCGCCTTTGCTTTCCCCTTCACGGAATTAATTGCGTCCTCTACGCACCGGCAGCTCTTTGCTCAACCTTTGTTCATAGTGCTCGCCTTCAGAAATGGGCAAGAGAGCACAGTGCACATGTTTAAGGCCACTAGTAGAGTCTAAAGTAGCGGCTAATCTCTGAGTACTCGCATACAACAACATCCGACTGTATCCGTTCTATATTGCTCCGGATTACATCGGCATGCTCAGTATCCACGGCAAGTTGCTGGAGTGCCGGAAGAGAGAGAAGCAATCTAGATATGGCTGCTTCATCGAAGTGGCTTGTGGCACGCATGCCGAAAACCTGCAAGCTCTTGTTCGTTGTCCGGATGTCGCTCGAGGTTTGTAGATCGTCCAGCCGGATAGCGTTATGACCAGTTGGTGGAATAGCGTCGCAAGTATCCTCCGACATGTAGCTCTCTCTCCAGTAGTAGGAATCCCTATCATCTGGGTCCATTGTCGTGCATGAAATTCGGAGGTATTTCAGTAGGACCAACTGTCCCAGCAGCTGTTTGATGAGTGCCACTGGCGCGATGTCTGTGTCCAACGAAAGACATACGAGGCTATGCCAGCAAAGGCGTGTTGGAAAGGGCACCATGGTCTGAAGTAGAGCTCTCCGAACCGAGGAGTCAGCTAGATAGAACCGGGTGACAAAGTGTGCAGGATCATTCACCTTGCTACCCCCACCAGGTAAAATAGTCTTTAGGTGAAGGCAGCTAATGTTGCGAATAATGCCAGTGTCGATCTGGGCGAGTTTACGGTGGTTCTCGTTGATCTGCAGCAGCCTCAGCGGGCGCGTTTTGGAATGAGGAGTATGCATCCCGATACACACCGGTGGATTGGCTAACCAGCAGCTTTGAGAGTTTTGGAAATGTACGCAAGAGATGGGCAGGAAGGGCCAGGGTTTGCTGCTGAGAATCAGACCCGCTCTTAAAGTGGAGCTGGAGTTCAGTGAGTCGGCTGAGAGGGCCCGTCCAAGCAAAGCCATGTTTAAAGATTCCCACCGGCACCTCGTTCTCTATATTAAGCAGTCTCAGCTTCCGAAGATTCAAACACTCAAAGTATACCTCAGGTGCAAGAACCCGGAAGCAGCTCTCGTCAAGCTCAAGTGAAGCCAGCATAAGAGTTGCTGGCGCGTGGAATGTCAAAGTCGTTGGCTGGAAACACTGGAGAGAGGAAAGGCGGCGAGCAAATCTCGAGAGCAGCGTCTGGTAGTGTGGTGATATGGTATAGTTGAATGGCTCGGGTGTAGTAGGAGAGGGAGGGGCTCCCAGAGTATCATCGGTGTGCGGGGGAATAGCTGCATGTAGCCCAATTGCTTTCAGGGTTTGGTAGCTGTGCCGAATGAAATCGAAAAAGGCATTGGCATCTTTCTGCATGTCCAGAGTGTGACAGTCTGTTCCCGACCTTAAAATGCCTTTGCCATAGAATTGGATCGTGTTCAGCCTATCCCAGGGTGGTGATGTGAGACCAAGGGCACCAAGTGCGGTTGTGAGTCGGAGGGGTCCAGTGTAGTCGTCGCTCATGATGACACGCAGAATGGCTGGCAAGTGTGGGTTTTGCTGACAGAGGAGCGATGTGATGTTGGAAACCCACACTACCTGCCCGACATCCTTGCTGCGCTGCTCAGGATGGGTGCGTATAATCGTTTCGCTGGACAAAAACAAACCGATAGGCATGTGGTGGCATACAAGACTTCCAGTGGCGGCAGACGGTGGCGATGCGCATTGCCTCCCAGTAATCAGCGAGGACAGCATGCTCGTGGATTATGTCCTGGCACAAGAAAGCTATTATTCTGGTAAGAATGTTGGCAGGCAGCTCGTTAAGGGTGTGAGTAGGCATCTTTGGGAGGGATTGGAGCGGAGGAGGATTGGATGATTCCAGTGTACGCCATGGCGACCACTTGGGTTTTTATACTTGTTCTGTAGCGCTGGGTGAGGGCTGTGTTGTCCCCTGGGTATTGCAGCGACACACATCTTCCTTACTAAGACACGTATCTGGATGAAACAAAAATGCACAGAAGGTCCTGGAGACGTAACGTCTAACCCTATGGCCATCGAGAAAACAGTGCCGTGGGAGCCAGCTTTTATCCCGTCATGCACGTGTGCAGCACCGAGTCGAGCCATGTGGGTCTTTGTAGGCTAGAAAAGATTGTGAACGTGCTGCAGTACCTGCTGTGTTCATGGCTGGGCAATAGAATGGGAATCAGATTTGATCCAATTATCCTTATTTGGCTTTTTGGTGAAGGAAAGGCTTAAGGTATCCTGTCTCTGCCACCTGGACAGCCATAGATGCGTGTCATTTTTATGTGAAAATCAGCAGAGTTAAGTAGTGCACTGGTGCTCTTGCAGTCAACACAGGCTCCGCTGGCTATATCTACTTGTAACAATCGTACGTCATTCCGACATTCATGTCTGAGCTATGTGGCCATCGGCTTTCAGGTACCGACTGTGCTCTGTCTATAGACATATACCACCACGGCACCACCTGTTGGTGGTATTGCAAAATATAGAACTACTACAAATGGAGTCTATCAAAATGGCCCGTCTCTGTACTGCGACAGCTAGAAAATCGGCGCTCAACACAGCAACCGGGTTTGGCAATCTTCTTGGAATCAAAATAGTTTGTAAGTCCCAAAGTGAAACACCACTCGGCAGGGACATCCTCCGCAGCCATTCCACCGCTCGCGTCGATTATAAAAGACCGGGGGCTGTCGCTTACTCTCACAGATTTGTTCATTATTTTTGTTGCAACTTCGTTTTCCTATAGCCTTGCCATGGTTTCAACTTACCTCCCGGCCCACGTTGATCGCAGTGCCATCCGTCCTTGCATTGTTGACATGAGGGTGCCATTCATCGATATTAACAGCGAGAAACAGGCCATCCAACAGCAGCGAGCGCACAAATCACCGTTCATCGTGCTAGAGAAAGATTACTTCACAGTCTACAATGTCAATGGTGGCCCATTAAAGTGTGACTATATCTCCCGGAACTATATCACAATGATGATGCGGTACTACCCTGAGCGCCCTGGTATGTGGTGTTGTTTTCAGGTGCGTAATGGCCTGACTTTCAATCCCGAGCCACCAGCTATCTACTTTATTCACGAAAAGTCCAGCGATATTCTGATCGAGGACCAATCAGAATGCAACACGGTCTTGATATATTACAACGAGAAGGACATTGCGAGGTTTGCAGCGACAACAAGGGCTGCAGATGGCTGCTGCAACCATTTCTTTGTTGTGTATGGGGATGGAGTCGAGCAGTGCTTCGATGCCAATAATCCACAGAGCAGCTACACTTTCCCACGCACCCTCAAATTCGCGTTCTTACCGGCAGTGAGGAAGGGCGTTGACGCGATTGAAAGGTTCAAGGATGAAGACAGACTGTTTGAGGAACGCCAGATATTCAAGCGCCTGCCAGACGGAGGATTCAAGCTAAGGGACATTAATGGCGCCGAGGTTCATGATGGCGAGGAGTTTTCATTGGTTGTCAAATTCGATGACGATGACGAACGCGAGTTTGATACATATGCTCTCGAGATATACGAAGGCGAACTCATGGCTGGGCCAATCCTTGACACTCTATTCACCTGCGAGACAATCGAAGGCATTATGTACCTGAATTACAATGGGCAGTATCTACACTGCCCTGATGATAAAGATGGTAGCATAGTTGTCTCCCCAGAGCTGCCCGAACGATCCGACCGTCTTCAAATCAATTATGACGGCGCGGACATCCTCCTGACCAGGTGGGACACATCGGATTTTGCTATCTATGAATAGGTTAAGGCATCGGTAGGATGCATTGCACTCCATGGTAATTGGTATGAACAGCGCCTTTATGGTGCAGTGCGACTTCAGCTCATCAAGGTATAAATAAAACATACCTTCTACTCAGCTGAACTCTAAGAAAGTGAGGAAGGTTATATGATAGACGTCGTTTACAGCGTAAGCCCCCTGAGGAAATCTCTACGCACACCAACAAACCAACACATTCAAGGTATTCCTTATAACGATGAATCAAAACAGCAAAGGTAGCCGCAGAAATTTGGATACAGTAGCAATGCCATTAAAGCCTGGAGGATAATAACGCAGCTTACATATCCAATGCCTGGAATGTGAATGCCTCAATATCAATGTCGCACTTTTGTGCCATCGCTGAAGCGGTATGTTAATGGTAGTGTGTCTTATTCAGGAATCATGAAACACCGTTCTACACCTTGACAACGCTCTTGCCGAAGTTCTTGCCGTCAAACAGGTTCAGAACTGCCTGAGGAGCGTTCTCCAGACCAGTGGTCTCATCGATGCGGTACTGAAGCTTACCCTCCTTGTACAGTTTGCCAACTTCAGTGACAAAATCGCTTTCGACTGATGTTCCATAATACTTGCCAACAAGTATACCCTGGAAAGTAGCAGTTTTGGTCAGGATGTTGAAAGTGTTCTTGAGGCCGTATGCCTCATCAGCCGACTTGACGTTGTACTGGGAAATCATACCACAGGAGATAATGCGAGCACCAGTATTGATGTTAGCCAGAGCAGCATCGAGGAACTCACCACCGACGTTGTCAAAGTAGATGTCAATGCCCTCAGGAGCAGCCTGCTTGATTGCCTCGGTGAAGGTTCCGCATGTCTTGTAGTTGAAGGCAGCGTCGGCTCCAATGCTCTTGACAAGTTCGACCTTGTCCTCTGAGCCAGCAACACCAACAACCCGCAGACCACGAGCTTTGGCAAGCTGAACGACAATCTGGCCAACAGCACCCGACGCTGAAGAAACGAGGATAGTCTCACCAGCCTTTGGCTTACCAATCGTGGTCAGACCGACAAAGGCAGTGAATGATGCCATACCGAAGACTGTAATAAAGTCGCGGGCATCGTCAATAGTACTGTGGGGAAGTTTGCGCAAATTACCTGCATTCACAACTGACTTGGTCTCCCAGCTCGCGTTCGGGACAGCAACAATGTCGCCTTCAGCAATGCCAGTGTTGGTTGATGCCTCCACAACAGCGACACCAAAGTTGGAAATCGGCTCATTAAGCTCATAGCGGGGGACGAAGCTGTTTGTAGCGCCGCTCAGACGGCCACGCTGGCACGGATCAACAGAAAGATAGAGATTGCGGACCAAAACCTGGTTCTCCTTAAGCGAGTCCTTAGTGGGGGCCGGGGCGGACACGACCTTGAAGTTGTCGAGGCTCGGGGCGCCGCTAGGTGAGTACTTGTTGGCCAGGACGCGAGTGATAGAGTTTTCAGATGTCATATTCGGTGCTCAACTTCGAATTATAATCTTGGTTATGTGAGGTGTCTGGTCTTTAGATGATGTGATGGTGGTTTAAATATTCATTACAAATGGATGCATTTAGATACATGTCAGGAGTGACTGATGTTATAAAATGAAATAGTTCAACAACACTTGAAGCGAATAGCAGGCAAGATGTTCTGCTGATGACAAATCGTTAAAGATAAGGGGGTGCAAAAAGGCGGTGTTCGGAATGGCCGAGTATCCGCCTGTATTTAGTAATACACACTTCACATGTATTCGCATTCTTTGGCTCGGCACCGACATTCCATGCGCTTAGCTATGTAGTCCGATAAAATGTTAATCGATCTAGTTGTGCTTGTCTCTGCCCTGCATATATTTTGTTGTTACTGAGGAGAGCTACACTCATACTAAGCTTCATTACACTCTTGCCAATGCTCACTGCGCAAGAATCGTTCTCTACTTCCTTGGTTTCATAAACCTTGTACTGGATCTTGCGTTCCAGATATAGCTGAGAGACTTCATTTGTGTAGCCGACTCTGCGGTGTGCTGTGTGGTGGTCCAAAGGAAGAAACCCCTGGGCATAGCACGTATGTGGATAAGTGCGTCCAGTCTCTTGTTTCCATACACAGCATCGGATAAGCCGGCGCTAGTTTGTGAAATGGGCACACGCTATCCAATACTTGATTTATTATCCAAGACAGGCATGGCCCCTTTGATTACATGCTTACTCGTGGGTGAAGTTAGGCTTGCGCTTCTCGGCAAACGCACCCATGCCCTCCTTCTGGTCCTTAGTGGCAAATGTGGCCTGGAACAGACGACGCTCAAAGTGCAGACCCGACGAAAGGTTAAGCTCGTACGCCTGGTTGACAGCCTCCTTGGCCATCTGCACCGAGACAGCGCCCTTGGACGCAATCTTGGTTGCAGTCTTAATAGTCTCCTGCAGCAGGGTCTCAGGCGGGAACACGGCGCTAACCAGTCCCAGAGTCTTCGCCTCCTGGGCATCCAAGTTGACCGAGCCCGCCAGGATCATCTCCATGGCCTTTGACTTGCCCACAGCGCGAGTCAGGCGCTGAGTGCCGCCAGCACCCGGAATGGTGCCAAGGTTAATCTCGGGCTGGCCAAACACGGCCTTCTCGCCGGCGTAGATGATGTCGCACATCATGGCTAGCTCGCAGCCGCCACCAAGCGCATATCCGTTGACTGCGGCCAGCAGGGGCTTGCGCAGCTTGTTGATCTGCTCGACCCAGTGGCCGAGGAAGTTGGACTTGTAGTTGTCAATGAACTCGGTGTCCTTCATTTCCTTGATGTCGGCGCCCGCAGCAAATGCACGCTCGCTGCCTGTCAGGACAATGGCGCCGATGCCGGAGTCGTTATCAAAGCGGGCCAGCGCGTCGTTGATCTCGTGAAACAGCTCGCTGCACAGGGCGTTCAGGGCCTTTGGCCGGTTCAGCGTGATGATCGCGACACGACCTTGCGTCTCAGTCTTGATCATGTTGTAGGCTGGAGCCTCGGTCGACACTACAGGAGATGTGCGTGTAGGTTCAGCAAGCATTGTCATGTTGATTAGCACAAGTACCGTCCGAGGCGTGTAGAACTGACGTCAAAAGAGAGAGACGGGCGTGCAGTAAACCCTAATATCAGCTGTTGCTTAACGGATATAGCCCCCTTTGGTCCTTACCAAAACGCATGGTGCGAGCAGCACGCATGGCAGTCGACGCCACAGCGGCCTTCCGGGTGAGCGGGGACGAGACGATAGAGCGGAACATGGCAATCGGTTGAGAGTTAAAGCGATGGTTGCAAGAGTTTGAGAATAAAAGAGGTATGCCAAAGGAGCAAAGGCGATGCAGAGGCGAAGGAGTGCGTTCAGCGATGCTTGTCAGGCATATTCCCCTTGTCCCGCACTGGCCATTCCCACGGAATTCGCTATCCAGTGCTTATCTCGGAGGCACCAAAAAATTCACACGTGCAGATGCATTCAAGACCCGCGTAGTAGCGCAGCCAGTTCTGCCATCGTCATGCACCCGCCAGCTACACAAATCGGCAATGCAGTCCAGCCGCGCAACACCCAAAATCAGTATCATGCAATCAGCTGATCTTGATCTAGCACACGCAATTTCGCAGAGACACAGCGAACAGGCAGCAGTTTGGCTGCTGGCACCAGGCGCATACTTGCACGAAATAGCTGCACAGCCAGACGGGACCTTTCTCTTCAAAAAGTCGACTCTTCGAATAATCCAACACTATGAAGTACGTTTTCGATGATGATGGATACGCCGCTGCTAGGGAAAATAATGCGGATCCGCGAGTGGATGGGGTCGTACTGCTCGAGAGCAGGAGTGGTGCCGCCGAATTACGGGAGGGCAGAGCATTTCAGGAATGAGAGGCCGAGTGAGAAATTGGCAGCTTGAAATTAGCAAACCCGACGCATTCTGATGTTCGGAATTGGCGCTCAGCACGGAAATGCACACCCTCCCATTTCGCAGCACCTTCCGATTTCAGCGAGCAATTCCCGCAGCAGCTAGGCAGCAGGACCAGCGCCGTGAGACGTGCATTTCTGCCAGCGAATAGATAGGCATACACGGGCGCTTATAAACGAATTGCTGTTAACTTTTTGTAGGCTCGAGATTTGCTCCTTCTCCGGGTACAAGATCTACCCCAGCCGCGGTCGCACCTTCATCCGTGGCGACAGCCGGACCTTCCACTTCCTGAACTCGAAGACCGAGTCGCTGTTCCGCCAGGCGAAGAACCCGCGCAAGATCGCGTGGACCGTTGTCTTCCGTAAGATGCACCGCAAGGGCATCAGCGAGGAGGTCGCCAAGAAGCGCACCCGCCGCGCTGTCAAGTACAACCGTGCTATCGTCGGCACCTCGTGGGAGGCCATCAACGCCCGCCGTAACGAGAAGACCGAGGTCCGCTCGGCTGCTCGCGCCGAGGCCGTCAAGAAGGCTAAGGAGCAGCGCAAGAACGAGGCTGCCAAGAGGAAGGCTGAGCGCGCCAAGGTAAGATGCTGAACACAACATGGCTGGTGTCTGATGTTCCCAAAAGACGGTGTGGACAATACTGCTAACGTTGACACTTGCTGCATTCCTTTTTGTAGAACCCCACTGCTGACCAGAAGTACAGCAAGCAGCAGGCTCGCGGTGCCTCGACCAAGGTCCACGCTACCAGCCGTTAAAGATCTTTTTCGTAGCTCCCATGGCACACCATGCCCTCCTTGCTTGTGTTGAACAAATTCCAGCAATGTGGAAAAAAACATACCCTGTACATGTGGAGTGCATATACGACATGGCATATAATGTATTACGGGCAAAGCTGTCCGCATGTATTGCATTGAATCCGGGAACAAAGCGACTAGGCGACAACCTCCTCCTTCTCGTCGACAATCTCCTCGACAATCTCCTCGACAACCTGGTCGTCCTCGCCGGCGGCCAGGGGCAGCTTGTAGCCGTTGGCAAGGGCCTCCTCGGTCTCCTTGGCAAGCTGGGCCTCGACGCTCTCGCGCCAGGTGTCCCACTCGCTGATAAGGCGGCGGCGCTGGGAGATAAGCTCGGCGTCGGCAGCGTGCAGCTTGCGCTCGTCCTGCTCGTCGAACTCGGTTGAGTAGTTCTTGAGGTTCTTGCGGATCTCGCGCTTCTTGTCGTCGGACAGCAGGGTCTTGGGGCGCGGGCGCCACAGGATCTGCTTGAAGCGCTCGACGACCTCCTTGCGCAGCTGCTGGCCCTTGAAGTCCCACAGGATGTAGCCGTTCTCCATCGTGTGCCTCCACGACGACGCCGACGTGATCACGTAGCGGCCAGTCGGGTCCCAGTCGAGATCGGTCACACCGTAGTGCTCCGCAGCGCCCAGCTGAGAGATGGCATCGCCAGCCACACCGCTCTTGTTGGCGGCAGCCTGGTCAAACTCGACGTCGTAGAACTCGAGATCCCACGCAGTGGTGGTGCGCAGCGTGGCCAGCACGATGTGGCGACCGCGCGGCGACCAGCGCAGGGCAGTGGTGTTCTTGCGGTCAAGCGTCTTGAGCAGCTTGAAGCCCTCCTTCTTGACCAGCTTGCCCTTGCGCTCAAAGGCGTAGAAGCTGACGCTGGTCTTGGCAGCAACCGAGGCCATGCCGCTGGTGTTGGTGGGCGGCGGGGTCGGGTCGTCGGTGTGGATAACAGCGAAGCGGAAGTTCTCCGAGGTCGGCTCCCAGTCGAAGGCCACAGCACAGTCCTTGAGCTCGATGACGTCGACAGGCACGTCGCGCTCGCTGGTGCGGAAGATCTCGAGGTTGGTGAACTGCGACTTCTTGGACTTGGTGTAGCGCTGCACGCGCACACACAGCATCTTGCCCTCGGGATGCCAGTGCAGCGATGCATTGGACACACTGAACAGGTTCTTGGTGCGGACCAGGGCCTTGTCGGGCACGCTGATCAGGCTAACGCGGGCCGGCAGGTTGCCCTCCTCGGGCGTCCAGTATGCCATCAGCTCAGGCTTGCCGGGCTTGGTGCGCGGGCACCACGCAAAGTCCTGGATGCCCGGGACCTTGATCGACTTCTTGTCGAGCAGGCCCATCGAGGGGGCCTCGTAGATGGCCACATGCGAGCCCTGCGACATGCGCGCAAAGTACTTCTCGCTGGGCGACCACTTGAAGTGCGGCCAGCTGACCTTGGCGGCCTTGCCGTCGTCAGTCTTTTGCGGTGCAAACGAGCGCAGCAGCGCACCAGTGTGCGCATCCCACACGCAGAACGTGTTGCCCTCGTCGGCCTCCGTATACGGGTTCTGGTGCTCGTTGCCGGCGCCCAGCAGCTGGTTGACGGTCTCGACGTTGATGGGCTCGTTGGACCACGTGACAAGGTACCGCTCGTTCGGGCTAAAGTCTGCGAGCTTGACGCTCAGGTGCACGAAGCGCATCAGCTTCTTCCACGAGGGACCACCCCACAGCACCAGACCCTGGCGGTGGAACGTGCACATGTACGAGCCCAGCGGCGACCACTGCACGTACGTCTCGGTCCAGTTCGACCGCGAGATAATCTTCTCGGCCGGCTGCGTCTTCTCGTTCCACAGCACCGACAGATCCTGGTCGGCGTACATGGCAAACTCGTCGCGAGCAAACTCGTCGCCAAGCCACGACTTCAGGTGCTCCTTCTCCACGAACGGCTCCTCGGGCGGGTCCTGGTACTTCTCGTCGACCTCGCTGTACTTCTCAATGTCCATGAACGGGTTGACCACCAGAACGTGGGTCTTGTCGAGCTTGAAGCCGCTGAGGTTGCGGATTGCATTCTGCGCCGACTCGGCGGTCTCGAACTCGACGAAGGCAAAGCCCTTGGTCTTGTTCTTGCCCTTGACCTCTTCGTGCGGCATGTGGATGCCGTTGTCCTTGACTGCGCCCGCCTGCTTCTTGAACAGCTTCTTGAGCACAGCAATCAGCTTCTCCTCCTTGCTCTCGTCCACCACAGGCAGATTGTCCACCACCACGACATTCTCAAGCGTCTCCTCCTGCTCGGGGACGACAAACTCCTTTTCCAGATCGCTGAAGTCGATGTCAGCCTCGCTGGCTGGCAGATTGGCGATAGTGAATCCTGCCATTCTTTCGATATCTGTAAACTAGTTATGCGACGGTATAATCTAGGACTGAAATGATGAAAGAGATTGAAATCTGCCCTCTGATATTTTTTTGCTGTCCTAGCCCATGCCCGCAAAATTTTCTTTCTCAGCACCACCTGGTTCAGGCACACGGCCAAACGACCAAGATCAGTAAATGTTCGGATTTCTTGATCAATCAAGGATGTAGCTGGAATTCGGAAGCACATCTATGTATAGTTGCAGGGGCGAGGTTGTAGCCATATGCCATCAAGACCAGTTCCAGCGACAACCTGCTGTCAGTTGGCTTGTCGGCAGCGAACAAGAGCTATCCATCAATGTCTCTGATGGCCAGAGACAGTGCCTCACCGCGCCGAATAAGCCGGTATATTTTGGCAGTAATTACTCTTTTTATGAGGATTCGCTTTTAAGTAGCGGCTCCTGCAACAAGGATTAGCTCCTACCCAGCTGGTGCTGTGCGGTTCTTGCCGCTTCGCAACGCTTAGCCGAGTTGACACAATTCGTGTTTATCAAAAGGTAAAAATGTGCAAGGAACTAGGAAATCTCAGCAGTAGTAGTAGTTGGTCAGGTCGTCGTCGTTGTCACCGTAGCCGGTTTTGGCCGAGTAGAAGTGAGACACCTCGTCATCGCAGGCATTGTTGCTGCTGGAATACCCACCGCCATAGTGGTGCCTGTCGTCATCCATACGGTCGTATCCACCGCGGGATGTGCGCGACAGCTTCGAGTGCATCTCCCGCTCCCACACATGTATCTCACACACAGCCGAGTTTTTGAAAATGCCCTCATCCCGTACTGTCGAGGAAACGGAGCCGGAAGGCGACGGCGATTTAGATGCAGTGGGTGAAGAGACCTTGGTCGAGCACACAGACTGCCCAGCACAAGCTTTTGACATGCGGGCACTTTCCACAATGTCCCCACCCCCAATGTCTTCGTCGTCGTGGAGTGGAGATGCGGTAGTGCGACTGGCACAGGCCACACACAGCCCATCGTCCTGGGACAGAGCCATGATGCGTGAACTTGCCTTTGTGGTATTCAGCAGGCGGCATACTGGCACACCGACGCACTCGCTGTCAGCATGGGCCCCTGCCAACGGTGGCTCGTAGCTTGTTACAGCATTGCTGGTGTGGCGGCGTCGGGGCTTGATCGTGACAGATCCCAAGAACGGGTGCTCGAGCGCCTGCGAAGCCGTCGGCCGGCACTGGGGCTTGGCCTGCAGAGCCCAGCGCAGTAAGTCGGCGGCATGGAGGACTGCCAGAGGCACACGACCGAGCTTGCGGGGGGTTGAGGAGCCCGTCGAGCTACTGGACTGTGTCGACGCGGTGGGACGGATAACCGAGACAGCAAACGCTGGCTTCTTGGACTTGGAGCACGCGTAGCGGCTGCTGGAGTGGGTATTAGAGGCCGACTCCAAGATCTCCGGCAGGCTGTTGCCACGGGTGGCACCATACGTGGTTGGGTCGCGGGAGGACAATTGCACTGGGGTGGTACTGGGGGACACGTAGTAGCCAGTGCTGTTAGGGTAGCTGGTCTCTATGCCGCTGTCAATGTCAATGTCGCAGGCGCCAATGCTGTGTGCGTACCGGGGCTCGTTGTCTGCCTTGCTGTTGCTGACGTAGCAGCCCAGCTGTGAAGTCGAGTAGCTATTGCGGCTGTAGAACGTCTGGCCAGTGGGGCGGCCGGCGGCAGGCAGCATGTCCGCATCATCCATGTCGCAGTATCCGCTGTACATGGATGACCCGCCGCCAACGAAAGCAGCAGCAAAGGCAGCAGCCTCGTTGTCCTCGTCGGAGTATGTGTGTGTGTGGCGTGGCATATAGGACCTGGGTGAGCTGGACGGATGTTGGGCAGGCGGCGATATAGTGGTGTGGGCAGTATGCTCTGCCTGCGGCCGTGGGTCCTCGCCAGCTGCCTTCTTTGCTGGCGGCTTCATATCGTTGGGGATGCTTGACCGGCGGTGCTCTGGCACGGCCTTGGGAACGAACGTGGTTTGGCGCTCGATGAATTCGGCCTGGCCGGGGGTGTACTCGTAGGCATCAAGTAGCTCGTCTATCTGCGAAATGATCACGTCGGTGGTGTCGGAGCGAATCAGAGGGCCGCCCAGCAGACGCAATTCAACCGTAGGCAGGTAGTTCTGTAGCATCATGCCCAGGACCACACCGGCGCTATATATGTCTGCACGCAGGTCCCAGGCCTCACCCGACAGAACCTCAGGCGCAACAAACCCGCATGTGCCACGGCTCGGCAGCCTCCCGCTTTCAGTGGCCGACAGGTCGCAGGCCAGGCCAAAATCAATCAGCTCAATGTGCGAGGGGTCCTTCGGGTCAGCCATTAGGTTGGTTGGGGTGATATCCAGGTGCGCAATGCCGAGGTGGTGCAGGTCCTCCAGCGCAATGAACAGCTGGCGCGCCAGGTACGCAATGTCAAACAGGTCACGGCCCTGAATGTTGAGCGGGTTCATGCGCGGGAATACCATTACATGCTTGCTCGAGTTGTCGGCAAATTCGTCCAATAGCTGCATTACATGCTCTGACTCGGTGCCTGCCACCATGTGATAGAACGACAGCTCGCGCTGTGCTAGCATGCTGTCATTGACTGTCTTGAAAACCACACGCTTCCAGCCGTCGACGCGGATGCCAAATTCCACTTTGGAAAGGTCGGTCTACATGGAGATGGAGTTGACTCGGGAGAACTAGTTAGATCGGGTGCTGATAACAGGGTAGCCGGGGGAGGTCATATGGCTTTGTGGAGATTTCTGGGATCAACAGGCCCACCACACAGCAGCAGTCCCAGGACTATTCACGCCAGCCCATGGAAGCAGCATGTGACACGAAATGGAGCATTGTGAAAGGGCGTAGATGAAGCCAGATAAGGACGAGGGCGGCAGTCGCTGTGTGGGATGAAAGCTGCACTGACGCAAGCACGCTGATAGCTGCGCACGGGTAGATGCGGGTCGTGCATGCCCCATTGTGGCAGATAAGCCCGGTCCAAGCCAAGACATAGAATATCCGCTGGCTTGTGCGGATATGTGGGAAATGCACCGTCCATGTCTTGCATCCTTTTTGGATATTCAGCTATTTTTGGGCAGGGGGCTGCCAATGCAGAGCCATGAAACGAAGCGAATATTCCTTGCATGCTGCATATGAAACATCATTTGAGCAGAGCAGCAAATGGGCAGCATGGGCTGGCGAAGGGGTAAGGAAAATGGCAAGGGGTAAAAGCGAGGAGAGCTAGCGCCGATGACGTTGGCAAGGTTCAAGCAGCAACTTACAATAATTTTTGGCTGGTGCGTGTGTACCAGGTATTCGCCCTGCTTCTCGAGCGGACATTCCAGGCGGCGCTCGAACGGGGCAACGTAAACACCATTGCGTCCGTTGCCAAGGTTCATGCGCAGCCCACCATTGGGCAGAACTGTATTGATAATCTGGCGGGCTTTCTCTGATGACATCGGGGCCTCGTGGCTGTTGGTCAGAACTGCTTTGGCTGCCTCGTGGCACAATACTGCCGGCTTGCTCTGCTTGGCCCACCCGAGATGCCGCGCATGCGCTTCGTGGTGGGAAGCGATTGAATGCGTGCGTCCAAGGTGGATAGGTGGTGAGTCATCGCGGCCGATCTGCTTCGAATCCGCGTGTTCCCGCATTGTCTTCGATGATAAGAGCTTCACGGGATATAGTGGCTCGTCGCTGTCAATATATGTGAGCGATGCGTCAGAGTTGCGACGGTACCGGCGACAGGACGTAGGCACCGCTTTGGTGCTGCCTGATATTGTTGGGGCTGACTCCATTGGGTTTATCTGTGTGCGAGGTTGGGCGTGAAAAGCTTTGCGCTTCAGCAGACCCTTGAGAACTAATAAAGTACAGAGCTAATAGGGTAAAATACAGAGAAATAGAGAAAATAATGAGCTGAACACGAATAGCTGCTTGTTAGTGTAAAAGAATCAGGGATTGGGAGAATGGAGGAGGCATGGACCTATATGTCCATTTCTAAGTATAGCTCGAGGCGCCCTAGTTGTGCCAATGGTGTGAAAAATGGGGGCTCCAGCTGCGTGGAGGAATTGGAGGAAAGAGAACTAAGGGTTATGTGACAGGAAGGAGAAAAAGGAATCCATTTGGAATACAGGGGACGGGCCTGAGCTTTATATAAACTTCTGCTGATCGCATACTGCCCCTTGCTTTGCATTGGCAAAGCAAAATGAAAATTGGTGCGGAACGGGTTTATCGGGCCACACTTGGAAAGCAAAGCGACCTCTTCATGCTTGTCGATTCGCTCAAAAAGCCAAAAATAGAAGGCGCCAGTCCCGGGTTGCTGGGGAGGGTAATCAGACACCCCGTTCCCGCCATGTCTTGGGAGGCACATAGTGGCCTCTGCACATATTTCTGTTGACTCTTGGAGGCTGTGGCCTGTGCCAAGAAACATAAACAAAAGGTACTAGTAAACAGTGTCGTAATGCAAGGCACGAGGAACGGGTGCTGCAAGCGCCGACAAACCGAGGCGGAGAGGTCCCGAGTGCAGACGGCTCTCGGTCAACATACCTTTGGCTGCTTTGGCTGCTTTGGCTGTTGCGCGTGATGTCGCTTGGCAAGACACGCTAATGAGCTAGTGAGAGTGAGAGTGAGAGTGAATGACTGAGAGAGCGAGAGCGCGGAATATTCCAAGCGAAGTAGTGAATTATATAAGTCGTTTCTTCTTATTTGCGGAGAATGTGAGACACTATCCTTCCTCCTTCAAAGACATTGGGTGAAAAGCAGGCAAGAAAGCGGTACTTCCTGGAAATAGAGGAGAATGGGCTCGCGGCGCAGGCAATGCCCTCTATGCGCTATATTCACCCACCGAGGAGTCAGTGCAATAGTGGTCGCGTGAAAAACAGACGCAGTGAGCGCATATTCCGGAACAGCAGGCTGTATCAATAGGAGGTGTGCTAAGCGGGCCTCAAACACCAGCATTGTCACGCACATCCTCCAATTTTGCGATTCGGGATGGCTACGGATGACGGCTTTTGGCCGAGCATTGCCTAGGGCAGGCGGGGCATCGGAGAGGGCTGGCCCGACCACACATCCCAGTCGGGGGATTTTTCAGCAAGGTCGCGTGTGTGAAAAATCAGAACAAGATGCACCTTGGATTTTTTATTTTAAAGTAGACAACAACAGCTGGGAGTATGGCCACCAATCACAGTCAAGGCGATCAAGCACTGATAGCGCGCTATCTTTCGCGATCTCGGAAAGCCAGGGGTCACACACCCAAACTGCTCTGCGTGGCGGCAATTCGTGCCAAGCAGTAAAAGCACAAAAATTGTAAAAATTCCGGAGCTCCCTAACTTTCACCTGGTTGCCTTGGTGAGCTGCTCGACGAGCTGCTTCCGGCGCATGGCCTTTGCGGCAATGACAGCGTGGTTGATGATGATCTTGAGGTGAGCCTGGCTCAGCGAATTCGACTCGCGCAGCTCGCCAGATGCTGGAGAATGGCAGCCTCGTCGTAGTGCGCCGGGTCGGCCTT